CGTCTGCCTGCTTCCACGTGCTGTGCCCTCCCGCGTGCTTATCTATGTGCCCGCACCCTCGCGCGTCCTCCGCTCGCCCGCTCGCCCGCCCGCCGTTCATCGGCCGTGTCTGCGTGCTGGGCAATAGCCCGGCGCGCTCGCGGTCGGTGTGCGTGTGGTGGTGGTCCATACCCTGTCCCCATCCGTGCCCGCCTGCTCGTTCACCCGCCTGCGCGTGCATTCGTCGCCCGTGTCGTCGCCCGTTGATGCGCCGGCTTGCTCATCCTCTCGCCTGCCCGCCCGCCCGTCTTCGCACCTTCCTCCCTATCCACCGGCGAGCCCGTCTGGCCGTCCGCTCGGTCATCCGCTAGTTCACTCACTCGGCCGTCTGGCTACTCACCTGTACGCCCGCTCGTCGACTCGCTCGTCCACCCCTCGCCCAACTGCTCGCGTGTCCGCTCGTCCACCTGCTCGCACGTCCGGTAGCCCACCCGCCTGCTCGCTCAACTACTCACCTGTTCGTTCATTCGCTCGTGCGCACGGCGCCTGCTCGTTGGCCATGTCTGCGTGCTGGGCATTCACCCAGCACACTCGTGGTGGACGTGCGGTGTGTGGTGTTGGTCCGCGCCGTGCCCGCCCGCTCGCGCGATCGCTCGTACGCCCACCCGCCCGCTCGTGCACCCGCCCACTCGCTCGCCGTCCCGCCTGCGGACCCATCCATCAGGAAAAACCTTCGTTACATAAGTTGTCTTGCATAGACCATAAAGGTAGCTGAAGCTTAATTAGTGCCTTAAGACAAGTCAAAATCTTTTTTGTACTATAGAGGCCCACACAAACTTAAAAAAGACTAAAATAGAGGCACTTTCTCTTCAGCTAGAGTATGCTATAGTGACTGAAGGAGAGTGGACCGTCAATCTGTTCCTTCAAATCAAGCACCTATCTTAAGCTACTTAGATTACTTAGGCATGCTTTGATGGTGGACACTTTGCTTTGGCTGCATGCACAGGCCACAGGAGTATGGTGAGCACTGAATATACACGTTACACACATGTCATATGAATACACTGCAAGTCGAAGCAACTTTAGGATCAGACACTGGCGAAAGTACAAACAATGGATAAGGAAAACTACGGAGACCCGGCTCGGAATACCAGTACAACGAAGTGGGCATCAAAGAACAGGTTGTCGATCTAGAGATAGGCTGTTGTGGATCTTCCAAGGTGGTTGATGGTATCATAATGTTTGCTAGATTGTGTCCTAGAACACAGGTTAGCTTGGATATAAGCTTCTCCGAGTCCTAATGCCAACAGACAGACCTTGGAAAGATCGCCGCTCCTCCTACACCGTCTATAGCATTGTAAGCATTGAATAGCATTGTTCACCTACAGATCTACACACCACGCACCTTCAATAGGCTTCCTCAATCTCGTCCTCCTCAGGCTGCTCCGTTTCTTCAGCCCCAGCCTGCACCGCAGCCAGCTTGCTACTGGAGGCTTCAGTTGTCGGAGCTCGCGTCGTCGCGCCGCCCTCGCCCGCGCCGTCATCGCCCGCGTCGTCATCGCCCGCGCCGCCATCACCCGCGCCGTCCTCGTCCTCGCTGGGAATTTCGGGCTGTTTGGCACTGGCTGACTTTGCGCCCGACTTCGTCATCCTGCTGGTTGAGCTGGCAGGTTTCACCTTGCTAGCAGACTTCTGCACGCTCGTAGACTTAGCAGGGCTAACAGCTGTCGAAGGGGACTTAGCTCGACCGGCATTCAGCTTAGCTCGCATGCGGTCGAACTTGAGGAAGCTACCACCCTTGGCTGCAGGCTCGAGTTCTTCGACAGCATCCAAGTTGAGGCGACCACTGTGGATGATAGTCAGTCACTGTGAATCCTAGACATCTTGCACGTACGAAATATGGCCCCAGATAGCCTTCTTTGTCTCATCGTAGTATTCCGGCAATTCCTCTTTCAGAGTTTCCAATATTGCAATGAGACCGTCCCACCTAGTATTGAGGAAAGTATCAATGTGTGTCTTCAAACCAATTTGAATTTGATACTCACTTGCAGGCGAACTGCTTGTTCGTGAAGAAGTTTTTCTGCCCATGATTCATGATCTCCATCAACGCGCACTCGATCTGCAAATGAAGGCATATCAGGGCTGGACATAGCCAGGGAACAGGTTATGTTTTAGGGCCTACTCACCGCGTTGCACACGAGAGCGATCAAGTTGTCTGGTACCATAGCAAAGTCCTCCATCGCCGCATGCAGGTTCGCATCGGCGCGCGCTCCCAATGCCCAGTGCTGGAAAATCAGCTCTGATATGGCAGGATGGCGGAACGGCTCGTCCTCGTTGAACTGGCTTTCCTGCAGCAAGTGTCACAGATTAGCCATACATGGATTACTAACACACTCACCTTCACGTCCACATGCTTGCGGTGGTCGAAGACTATGCTGATGTCGTTGAACAGGAAATTGGGGATGTGTCGCGTCCCACTGCCGTCGTTGACCTGTGTAGGATGCGCCTTCAGCAGCCACACAGCCGCCCTGCTTCTCTGCTCAGCCGTCAGACCGTGCAGGCCGTACACCGTCTCTACGACAGCTTTCGCCTTCTTCTTCAACTCATTGCGAAACTGCGACGCACACGCCCAAACCTTTCAATAGTTCAGCGAGCCCGTGGTTCGAGAGGTGCGTATCACTCACAATCTTGTACACCTCCTTCTGCAGCTCCATCCGCTTCGCCTCCTCCTCCGCGTCCTTCGTCGCCTTCGTCTTCGCGTCCTTCTCCTTCGTCTTCGCGTCCTTCTCCTTCGTCTTCGCATCCTTCGCCTTCGCCTTCGCGTCCTTCGCCTTCGTCTTCGCGTCCTTCGCCTTCTCGCCGCAGACCATCTTGAACCCAGCCTTCAACGCCTTGATACGATGCCCGTCCTTGTCACGCATCTCGTGCGCATCAGTCAGGCTATCGTGAACCAGAGCGTCTTTCTCAGGGAGTCGACCTGAGTGAACCGAGGTCTCCGAGGTCCACGCCGTCTTGAGAGCTATGCGGAGGCGTAGGGAATTCTGGGACGCAGAGACTAGGGCCTTAACGTCAGGGTGAAGGTCAGTCACCTTCGCACGTTTCTTGCGCGTGCCCTTTGATCGCCGACGTACGACTTTCCCTGCCGTCTCATCGCGCAAGACCTGCACAATCAGCGAGTACTTCATTTGCACGATACGGGAGCTCACCACCACGTCATCATCCTCCTCCTCTTCATCATCCTCACTACTCTCCCCTTCTCCTTTCTCCGGGTCCCTATCCTCGTCTTCCTGCTCGTCGTCGTCCGCATCCGCATCCGCATCCGCATCCGCATCCGCATCCACATCCGCATCCACATCCGCGGCACTACGTTCGGCTCCGCTCTGATTGTCGGTCGTTTCGACGTCGCTGGAACTGGAATTCTTCGTGATCTTGGCTTTGCTGGCAGTCCTGGGAACTTCTTTGCCTTGGCTCTTCACCGCCGTATGCGATGATTTTCCGCTCCCTTGAGGCTACACGAACACTGGTTAGCAAGCGATACTACGGTGAACTATGAGTACCTTCGGAGGCACGTCAACGTAGACCAGTCGCCGAGTCTTGCCAGTCGGCGACAACGTAGACAACGCCGGGATAGGTACCTTCTTTCTGGTCGAAGACGACGGTCCTTTCTTCGCGGCTTGTGTAGCAGCCTGTGGGCCGTCGTTCGGACCCCCCTCGTTGTCAGAAACATCGCTTGTCTGCCTGGCTTTGTTTTTGACCTTCGACAATGTGGTCCCCTTACCTGCTGCGGTGTTAGCGTAGAGATGAATGATTATTGAGACTTGCCCGTCAACTTACTGAGCGACTGGGCAACAGTGGCTTCCTCGTCGTCCAGGTTAGTCGCTCTCTTCGCCAGTTTCTTAGGTGGTTGAGTTTGACCCTTGGCAGCCTGCTTGGGTTTGGGCCGGGGTAGCGGCCAAGGCTTGGCTTTGAGCCGGTAGTTGTACAGTCGTATAAGGTCAGTATGATCTATTGCTGCAAAGATGCCGGGTACATACACTGAGACTTAGCTTTGTCCGACTTTCGACTCTTCTGTTCCACCTCAGAGTCGCCCGAAGTCTGGTCATCCTTGGCTATCTCCTCTTCACCCTCACTATCGACTTCATCGACATTCATATCTTCGTCGTCTCCCGTGCGCTGCTCTGCTTCAGACTCTTGAGCAGACTTCTTTTTCTTATGCTTTGGCGGCGACGGCTGCGATTCCTCTTCACTCGAATCCCGGGCGTCGTTTTCCATCAGAGCTGCACTTCTTTTGCGTACGTCTGACAGTACGTCGTTAGCCTATATTAATGTTGCATAGACGAGCTACTCACTCTTCTGGTGCAACTCCTTCGCGCTCTTGTTGGCCTTCTGGGCCATCTTGCGAAGTTTGGCGAGGGCCTGCCTGTCGGCGGAAGACAGACCTGCCGAGTTGATGTTGGGGATGTCGCTGCCTGACGAGGCTCTGCTGGCCTGCCCACGCTTCGCACGATCTTGCTGGCGGGCGCTTCGTTTGGCCTCGGGGCTGTCGTTGACAGACGAAGCTTGCTTCCGAGCGGCTGAGCGAGTGCGCGATGCCATCCTGGCAGTACAAGTAGGCACAAGTCGAGGAGGGAATAAGACAGCTCCGGAAAACGATGGGAGAGCGGTGTCTCTTCGCGAATCGCAGCTTCCGCTAAGTACTTCCGAGGACCGGGCTTCGCGTCTAATCGATCAGCTAGGTGCGGTGCGCGCACACTTAAGTAGCTAGTAAAGACCCCTGATATACATTAGAATATTTGTGATGCATCAAAGATACGTAGAGATATTGTACTACTGAAGTGATGAGTTGGTAGCCCAGCCATTCCGATCACCGCACCATTTCGACATTTCTCTGTCACTATGTAGGACTATAGAGGCTCGTCTCCCTTTGTAGTGTAGATTGAAATGCGTGAGGCGACAGGAAGGAAAGAGTACGAAGTCACCGGAGATAAGTGGGATAACCAGTCCCGGTTCATACAACTATGTCAGAGCACGGTCCACCGGCATGTGTCCGCCCCGCTGCAGCGGGTACGGTCATGCGCGTAGACGCGAGTTGGCGAGACTACTGGCAGGTCAAAACTGACGGACGGAAGGAACGGTTGTTCATCCGGTAGGTGCAGGTTCGCCTGGTAGACCTCATCCTCGAGCTGCACGATCCGCCCCGCTGCAGCGGGTATGGCTGGCGTCTTCCGGCCCTCGCCCATCCGTCCGTCTCGCGCCACTTGAATGGCACGCAGATTCTCGTGATGTGACGTCGACCAGCCGTTCGACTCGAAGAGGTGGTGTGGGAGCGTTTGGGAGCGTGAGCTCTGACGCGATTGCACGGCGCAACGGTCAGATTGGGTCGGAGTCTATGCGAGAACAGGATGATGTCGCCCGGGATCTCCTCCACAGCGTCATCGTCGATACAAGAGAGCGAGCCGCATTGTCCGGAGGGCGAGGTCCGCGTTGAGCGACATGGTCTCCTGCGGTCGCTTGTACGTCCTCGGCAGACCCCAAGGCGTCGGGCTCGCCCTCGCGTCATCCTCCACCACTTCCGTGAGAAGCCTAGCGAGGGCCCTCGCCACGAGCGCATACTCGTTCTGTACGGAGGACTTGAGGTTGTCAAACTGGAACTCCTCGAGCCAGCGGAGCCACTGGGTGAGGAAACGCACGGAGCCCGCGTCGATGAAGAGGTTGCGGTACGCCACGAGGTGCGGGAAGTGCGCAATGGAGTGGACGAGGAGCTCCGTGTCCTGGTCCGTGAGGCCACTTGAGGTTAAGCACCCTGCGGGTTTGCAGGGCATATTCAGACTCCGCTGTGGCGCGGGCACCCGTACGCGCAAGTCGTGTCGCGCCTCGTCGCGCCCTCTTGAATGTAGAGTCGCCAACGCCGTACGCAGCCCACGAACATACCGCGGGTGCGAGTACTTACAGCGACGAGCGGACGGCTGGGAAGTGTGAGTGGCGGGCGGGCGAGGGCGAGGGCGAGTGCCCACAGGTGAGTGCAAACGCATGCGAGCGACCCCACTAACGCAGGCACAGGACGCGGCAACGTGCAGCATGGCGCGCACGGCGACCGCGAGAACGCAGGGCCACTGCCCTGCGTGCAGGCACGGCCAACGAACGGCCGGACCACCGGACGAGCGGACGAGCGAGTGCGGGCGCGGGCGGCAGCATCATGATACACACGGCCGACGAACGCGCGCAATGCAAGCGGGGAGGCGGCGGGCGAGTCGGTGAACATGCAAGTAGTACATGGGTGACAGGTCGAGCAGGTGAGCAGACAGCCAAATGGGTTGATAGGTGGGCGAGCAGGCACACGAACGAGTGGGTGGGCGGGTCAACGGGCACACAAGCGGGGGACCACACACACGTCCACCGCACGTCCACGTCGTAGGATCGACCGACGTCCTGTACGGGCAGGTGGACGAGAGGTGTGAGAGGACGTAGGTACCCACTCGTCACTCACCATGCAGCTACGATACCTAAGGTTGAGAAGGTATACACGGGCTCGCTCGAGCGCAGCGCCATTGTTAAAGGGTCTTCATGAATGCATCAGCGCGCGAGCCACATAAATTGTCCACTGTCATACCGACAGCCACAGCAAGTGATACGTCGTGTGAGTGTGGCCCGCGCGTCATCCTCGCCCCGTTCAGAAACTAGACTGATGCATGGAAGCCCGTCCATTCATAGCCTACTTCGAAATGCCAGTACAAATCCCTAACGAGGAGGGTCTTGCGGCGAGACTATGAGTCGCGCGGCGCGGACTCGCTCGCCCGGCTAGTACTACTGAACTTCGCGCGAACTTCGCGCATGTGTACTGAGCATTGTGTAAGAAATACATTAGAATGGTTTAGTAACAAGTCGGTGTTGGCGACCCTAAGAGGGGGCCCGCGCCACACACCGCTGGGTGATTAACGTCAAGTAGTGCCAGCGAAGTATGTAAGGCCGCGAGTGTGCACTGGCTCGAAGCGCGGGCGGCGGAGCTGTCGACGTGCGAGCGTACGATAGCCGTACGATAGCTTGAACAACACGGTGTGACATTCTGGTACAAAGAAACAGACATAGGTTGTGCGACGTTACATGGACAGCTCAATTCGACGTATCCTACAGGGGTAGAGGTGTAGAGGCTACATGGCTACAGGTGTGACAGACGTTGAGAATACACGGAATAAGTACAGCGATGCAACATGCAACAGAGGAGCGATATAGCGTACAAATAGAGGCTGTAACACGCGGACGAGAGGCCGCGACCTGAGGCAGAGACACTACGCCAACCTCTGCGGCGATTCTCTTCGAGGCCGCCGACGCCTGTCTGCGTTCACCTCCTCGGCGGCGTCCTCGGCGTCCTCGCGCTCCTCCCTCTGTCTCACCCGCGCCAGGCTTGCGCTCATTCCTGCCTCTTGTGAGCTCATCCGGCGAACAAATGCATCGTCGGTCAGCGACGCAACAGGCTTGGGTGGCTTGAAGTTGGCACGACCCAGCGTAGTGTGATTGAACGCTGTCTCTCCAGGGAGTCGCCTTTTGAAGGTCTGCAACCGGTTGCGCGCGCAGCACTTCGCGCCGTGACGGATGGCTTCGACTAGGGCGGGGAAAGGGAGTTGGAATTCCTCTGGCAGATCTTCTTCGTCTTGCTGGCGCAGCTGGCGCAGCTGGCGCAGCTGGCGCAGCAACTCCTCGCCAAGGTTAGTGAACTGATACGCCCTCCTGACCTCCTCTGTCGTCTGGTAGATGTTCGCTTCGTCGTTATCCTCTTTGAATGAGTCCCAGTCCTCGCAGCCTTTCCTCCACACCTCGAAACGCGCCCTGGTGAAGACGCGTCGCCATCGTCCGCAGAACATATCGTATCGGTCCTTCGGGTAGTTGTCGTACTTCTCCTGCACAGGCTGCGGATGCCACTGAGTACTCAAGAACCGATCCATAGAATGACTGCTCACTATGACGTAGCCCAACTTAGCCCACTCCTCCATACTCAAACCATCATTGAGGCCGTTGTTGAGCTCCTTACGCTCGTCGTCCGTTAGGAACCTGGAAACATCGAACAACGCGAACCATGCTGACAGTTCGCCACACCATACATGGTTGTTGGCCATGATGGGGCGCGTTAAGATGAAATCGCACTCGCTCGGAGCGGGATCCTCTTCCTCGTTGACGTCCTCTTCCACGACCTCGCCGCCCTCAGGCACGACCTCGTTCTCCGGGAGCTCAGTCAGCGCCGTCAGCGGTAGGTTCTTCCACTGCAGCCGTTGTTTATCGTAGCCGGCCCCCGGAGTCAGCTTCGGTCTCTTGAACTTCGTGTGCTCGAAGATTTTCACGCCTCCTATATACACCGGCCAGTTGAACGGGTCGTCGTCCTGGGTGGCGATACGTTGGTATTCGAGCATCTGATTGTTCGTTAATACTGGTTAATTGGAGTACACTGACAGTGGTGCTTACCCGTCCGATGAAATGCTTCCACGTCTCGCTGAAAGCAACCTCGATCACCCCAACCTCGTACTCGCCGTCCATGTAGGTTATCTTGATCACGATATCCGGGATGTGCATAGTCGACTTGGTCTGGCGGGCAGCCAAGATCGGCCCCGCGAGCTCCTTCATCTGCTCGACACCCAGAGTTATCTTGTACACGTTTCTGATCACGAAGATGCAGGGAGTAAAGAGCGGCCTCTGCGAGTCGCATATCTCAATAACGATGTGCTGATGAGCCCCAGACGGGGAGTTCATGGAAAGAGTCTGAGATGAGGAGTCGTAATAGAAACTGACAGATGCGCGAGTGAGTCGCGCATCCCTTCCTCGGCCTCAAGCATAGTCGACTCACTTGAAGAACTTGTGAAGGGCGGGATACTCCTGCACGTAAGCTACTAACTGGAGCCACTCGTCGTTATTGATCTTGACCTCCTGATGTGATTTGACGTCAGTTCAAGTCTTGCGCCAGACGTAGAATAGAGTACACTTACGCGCTCGAAGTCAAACAGTTCAGGCCCAAGTCTTTCGTCCAGCGCGTCCCCAAAGACCTTGCGCAGTAGTGTATCAAGAGAGCGATCGCCGTCCGATTGGGAGGCTTGAGAAGTAGAAAGTGATGGGGCCTTTGCAGATGATTGGGATTCACTGTCAGACGTTGAAGGTTCAGAGCCTGAGTTTGCCCAAGATCAGTGTAATCCAGGCTGATCTAGCTAGGCTAACTCACTGATATGTTCAGAAGAAAGGTACGCTATGTCCTCTGCCTCCACGGCCTCAGCTTTCTCCTCGCAACGTAGGGGACTACGAGGGCTGCGAGGGTAAGGCGTCCAAGCAGTCAGAGACGCAGCATTCCGCAGGAGAGAGCGAGAGCGAGGAGGCAGCAACCCAAGGGAAGTGGGAGGCTTCCCGTACGACATGTTGAGGGCACTTCCGGACGCCGCAGAGCAACCGCAGAGGTATGTACAACTGAGGTACTCCAAACGGCAGCCTTATGTAACACGGGTGCAGCGCGGCTGTACGCCGTGCCACATTTAACACATCCAGGCACAGCCGTGGGAGAGCGCATGGAGAGGCACTAGCCCAGTGCCCCGCATGAGCGCCGATAACGGCGCAGAACGGTGCGCCCTTTGCAAGCTCTAAGTGCAGACAATATTTGGAATGTTTACTCACCTTACGCCGTGTGCCGGGCCTTCAACACCGTACGATCAACGCGACTACACGATGGTCAGCAAGGAAAGACTGAAAGTGCGTTGGTTGAAGCGAACTGACCGCCTTGTGCCAAACTTTACAGGGAGCAGGTGCTAGTGTCAAATGTGCGCCGCCCGTCAAGGTGTATGGAGCCGAGCGCTACAGATGCAGCCTTGCGGCTGCGGGCTGCGGGCTGCAGAAGTCTCAGAGATAGGTGCTAGTGGATGCCAGTAGAAGATGAAGGTGACCATTCAAACGTTCAAGAATGAGAGGTGGGAGGACCTCGCAGTACTGAGAAGAAAGGCACGAGAAGAAGGGAGACGACAGGCAGGGCGGCGTGCTCGCTCCCGCGATCACAGCGTCCTGCCTGTCAGAGTCGCTTAAGTCAAATATAGGAATGAAGTTCGGCTCTTGAGTGGTCTTTGCAAGCGCCCTGAAAGCAACCAGACCCACGACCGTTTCCCTTCGAAAATACCCCTTCGAAAATACGGTAAGTCCTCGTCGAAGTCGATTGAACTCATATCTATTCACTGAAGCTTAAAACACTTTGAACAGGGTATGGGGAAGAGGCGTCGCTCTCTGGAAGAGATCTTGTCAACAACCTGCGCTGCCTGCAACCGACCATTCGACACGGTGCAAGGACTATCAGCACACCAGACTACCAGTCAAGGTTGCGCGTGGTATAAGAAAGGCAAGCTAAAGAAGTGTTTGCGTTCGACATTTCGGACGATGAAGACGACATTGGCTGCACGAACTCGATGCACAGTAAGAAGTCAAATTTCTTAGCCCATGACACCCTCGGTAGCCTTTTTTACAGATCGAAAAGTAACAACAACCTCGATCATGATGCCGACGAAGGAGCCAGCGGGAGCGGGAGCCACGTCCATCCACATTACCACCCATCACCTATTACCTCGTCTTCAGATGAAGAAGAAGGTGAAGACCCCTCAGACCTTGCATCCCTGTACGATTTCGTCGACGTCCGCGTCCCGGGACGCGAAGGAACGTCAAGTAAATCAGGGACCTCCTCGGCTCAATCCAGGCGAACTTTGGATGACAACGCGGATCCCAGAGTTGAGGACGTGGATGAGGATGCCGCGAGGGTGATACGTACAGACGAAGCCGTACGAAAGAGTTGGCGGGAACAAAGACGAAAGGAGGCACACCGACACGGTAAGCCCGTCCTCACATTATGTGCCATGCATTAAATTGACGAAAAAAACAACGGCAGATAACCTTGAGGAGGAAGACGCACAAGATGACCGAGAGAAGACCGTCGAACAAGGAGATCGTGACCCCTCAAATCCTTGGGAGCCCTTTGAGTCCGAAATGGACTGGAGATTCGCGTCCTGGGCGATACAGGAAGGTTTGAGTCGGGATCAGTTGACAGAGCTTTGGCCATACCTGGGGTAAGCTTGACGCAATAAGTTCTATGTCACCGCGTGCTAAGTCCAGCTATATAGTTCAAAGAAAGATTAGGCCTTTCATATCACATTCCTACTCCTTGTTACAGAGGGTTGACTCGCTTCCGGAGAGGGCGGAGTGGAGGGAAAGATGGTTGACGTTCAAGGACCGACCGAATGAAGAACATCTGGTTCAGTATCGCGACATAATAGAGGC